TCCGTTGATGAGATGGACGTCCAACTTAGTGTGGCTGAGGAGAATAACCTCCTCGCCGATTCACCCCACCCGCCACCACTGGAGGCACTCCCGCCCGCAGAGCCGTTGCCGCCAGCAGAGTCGTCGTCAATGGAGCCTGAGGCGGACATTCATCCAGTGGAACCAACTCCATCCTCAGCCGAACCATCCCAACCCGGAGCAGGAAAATGCCCATCACTGCCTCCGGAGAATGCTTGCGTTTGGCCGGGGTGTACTATCAGGAGGGTTGTCAATATGAGGGTGCATGTTATGGGCAAGCATGCCCCATCGTGTTTGAAACCTTTAGGTCGGAGCACCCGTCGCCAAGCTCGGCGACATCTCCGAATTCTGGAGCAGCTAGCTGTCGCATGCATGGGTGAGGGAACCACTCTGCAAGCTCTAATGATTCGAGTCAACCGGGAGAGGGCACAAACACGTGGGACGCCACATTCTTCGCAGGGTTCGATGCCGAAAGTTTATGACGCGCATTTTCATATGGACCGTCTTCGCCAGGGGCTGGGAGTGTCATTCATGGCTAACCTCGGTGACCTGGAGCGGGCGGAGCCACCCCGAGGTGACGTTCGTCCCGTGTCTGTGGCGGGAGGCATTGCAGTTTACTGCGACCCTCAAACCTACCCCACGACACGGGAAATAAATTTTATCACGAGGGACCTGCACCTCAACGTTGCTGTTGGAGTTCACCCAAAGCAGAGCCTAACATCCGACCAGTTCGATCGGCTCCATTCACTCTCACGGATGAGTGAGGTAAAAGTGTTGGGGGAAATCGGCCTTGACCATTCCAGGCCTCCCTCTGATTGGTACCGCCAGGAGGGACTCTTCAGACGTGTGTTGAACCGGTGTTATTCCCATCACCAACATCGTGTGGTATGTCTACATCTGAGGGGTATGGCTGGGGACCCCACGGCGGAAGAATGCTACTCGCGAGCACTGGACATCTTAAGGCTGTCCCGTATTCCGCGAGAGCAGAGATTACTTCTTCATAACTACACCTCTACCGTTTCCATCGCTGACGCTTATCGTCGTCACTTCCCGGCTACATATTTTAGCTTTTCCCTGGCAGCGAGTGGTTTCAACAGCCAGCAACGACAAGCATGTAGGCATATTGAAGCCATGGACGACCGACGGTTGCTGATTGAGTCGGATGGGCCACATTTCGCACCGGCAGGACAGCGAGTTGGTGCACCCCATCTTTTGTGGGCGACAGCAGCAGTAGTGGGGGAGGTGCTCGGCCGGGATCCCAGGCGGGTTTTAGACCTGACTTGGAAGAACGGTCGAGACCTCTTCTAAGAGCCCGATGTGCGTCTCACAAAGAAGATTTTATGTTTGTTTTTATATTTTGTTCTGGAAATTAATTTACTTTATATTTTTCAGACCCGGATGATTCAGCATAGTGAACATCCGAGAGAACTGCTTTTTGCATTATTCCCCGTTGAAGACATCAGTGTACGTTCACCGGGTTTCCTGTACAATCTGTGACTCAGCGAGCCCATACGTTTTACGACTGGTTATCAACGGGATGATGTCAACTCTTTTCAAATAAGGGAGGAGTGTAGTGACGGCCGC